AATTTTAGAAATTGGACATCTGGAAATGAAGAAATTGACAAATTAATTCAAAAATGTCAACAAAAAACTGTTTCACCTCAACATGTCATTGAATGGATTAATTATGATCAATTTGAGAATATAGAACATCTGACAGAAGGAGGATGTGCTACTATTTATACAGCAATATGGAGAGATGGATGCTATTATAAATGGAATTCAGAAAAACAAATATTATAAAGATTTGAAAGACTAAAAGTTGTTCTTAAAAGATTAAATAATTCAAATAACAATAATATACATTGGTTTCAAGAAGTAAGTTTAATTATTATATTTGTTAATTTTCTGTTTAAATTTAGAAAGATTTAATTATATAACTATATATAATTATTAGGTGACATTAAGTTTTACACTTGATAATACTTTTTGAAGACTTGTAACATGTTTTGGATTAACTAAAGATCCAAGCAATCATGATTATATGTTGGTTCTGTAGCATTATGATACAGAATTAAGACATTTTTTAAAAGATAATTATCACTCACTTACATTATTACAAAAATATAGAGTTATTAATGATATAGCAGAAAAGTTAATCAAAATTCACAAACAAAACATCATGCATAGAGATTTGCACTCAGGAAATATTTTATATGATATGTATACTTTACAATGAGTTATTAGTGATTTAGGATTAAGTGGGCCAGTTGACAAACCATTAAATAGCATATATGGAAATCTCCTATATGTTGCACCTGAAGTTTATTGTAAACAAATTTCTATGAAAAAATCAGATATACATCAACCTGCCAAAAGTATCCAGGCAACTATTTTTTTGTCAAATTTTTAATAAATTTCAAAGATGAATTATAGTACAAGGAATAATTCAAATTGCATAAACTTTTTTTAAAAGAATTCCCTGATCAAGAGCTATAATATGATATCTTATTTATTAAAATTGGACACTTGCTTGTGAATATATTTTGTTTTAAATAAAATCAATCAAAAATATTAAAATAAATTATATATCATAAAATCTTTTGTTCTTGATAATTATTTATCATAAGTACCAAGTATCTTATACAAACTTATAGCACATAATAAAGGATATAATTTTTATTAGTACCATATTTGACATTTTCTAGTGAAAATCAAGACTTTACTTAGATGCAACTAAAAAATAATCAAAATTAATAAAATCAGACTTGATATTAACAAAAAATTGACAATTGTTGTCATATATAAACTTTATTTTTTCACTAATAAATATTAAATATAGTATTAAGCAAACTTAAAAAGAAAATTGTTATATATCCGTTGTAAAGTTTTTAGACCAATATCATAAGAATTGAAGAAATAATTTATATTTAAATTTTTAAATTTAATTATTAATCATTTTCTTAATTTCTATAATCTCCACCCATTGTTATTTCTTCAAAAAATAATTATATCTAATATATAATAACAATGTTAGTAATTATAATATTTAATAAAATAAAAATTAAAAAAAAAATCTGGTAATGATTTTTTTTCAATATTAATTGTTGAAAATAATTTAAATGATAAGTTTTTTTCTTTTAACTGATATATAAAAAAAGGTATATACATTGTTAACATATGCATATATAATGTAATATCTTCTGTTCTAGTATTAGGATAGTGGACTTTTTAGAACAATTTCAATATACTTTTTTTTTTCTGGTCATTTTCTATAGATTTTCAGGTTTTTACCATGTTTCTGAATAATTTATATAAATCATATAAGTAATATATTTTTTTTCTATAGTACATCCTTAGTGTTTTTTTTGTTATCTAATTTGAATACCATTTAACTTTCTATTACTGTGGAGTATATCCACAAGGGTGTGTGTAACATGCTTGTGGAGCATAGTGAAATATAGTTAACTGTTTAGTTAGTATTTAACTTTCTGTTACTGTGAGCATGAACCTTTAAGTAAATGTAAAACAGATGCGGAACGTAGTGAAGCATAGTTATCTGTTTAGTTAACATTTAACTTTCTGTTACTGTAAGCATAAACCTTTGGGTGAATGTGAAACAAATGCAGAGTATAGCGAAACATTAGTTATCTATTTAGTTTGCTACTTGTTTTTTGTTCTAACAGAGTATAGTGAGATACTAATATTCTATAAACTTTTTATTAATAAGACAGATAGTAAAAATATAGATAAAATTTTTGAAACAAAATTGGTGTATTTTGGTTTCGAATATAGTCCCACTTGGAAGGTTCTGATATAAAACAAAGTGAAGTATCTATCTCCACCTGAAAGATTTTTGGGATAACAAAAAATATAAAATATTAGTTATCTATTTAGCTTACAATTAGTTTTTTGTTTTTGCTAAATAAAATGAACTTGTTGTATTTTATAAGTTTTCTAATAATAAAAAAGATAATAATAAATTATAATAAAATTTTAAAATAATTTCAGTGTATTTTTTTTATCATATATATCACCAAATAAATCAATATCTAAAATATTGTTAAAGAAATTAATATCTAAAATATTATCAAATAAATCGATATCTAAAGTATTCTCAAATATAGAATATAACGAAGTATCTAGTTGTTGAGCATAGAACTGTATAACATAATAGCTTTTAGCATATTTTTTACAAGTACCAGGTGCTGAAGTAGTAAGCTTTCCACAAACCTTACATAAAATATATTTTTTAGCTTTTCAGTGTTCATGGTACCCTTGAGAACATCGACATCCACACCTACAGACTTCTCCAGAGTTATGTATATATTCACATATATATTTACCTCGCATTGTGATAGTAATAAATTTATATAAATGAATAATTATTTAAAATTAAACAAAAGATCTGGTTACATTAATAAAATACACAGATTATAAAGATATATATTACTATGGTACTTTATTACCTAGGATGTGTTTGTGAAATAAAAACTAGTAAGATCAAAGATCTTAATAAATATATAAATTTAAGTGAAAACTTTCGTAAGGTGCAATGTCAACCAACTTTACGAATATTACAAAATCAAGTTCCAGTAGAAAATCTATCTTCAACTTCATTAGCACCAGAGGGTGATATAATTTCATTTAATAAAAACTCACCGATATACCAACTAATCTAGCTAAGCGAAAAAAGTGTACTGACAGTCAACTCCGGAATAAGATTTAGTTCAAAACAAAATAGTATTAAATATCAAGAAAAAACTATCTTAATTTTTAAAAATATACCAAATGGATTTGAATTTTGATATTAAAAAAGATTTTCATGTATTATCTAATAAGTACTATTTTATTAAAACATATCTAAAAAAAACAACTACAGAAACATATAAAAAAATTATTAAAGAATTAGAAACTATTGTAAAAAAAACAAATAGTCAAGTCGATATATGAAAATTAGGATATTATATATTAACAAGTTTAAAACTTTTTAAAGAAATTACTTTAGTATCTAAAAGAAGCAAAAAAGTAGATAAAAAAGAAAATGTCTAGTTAAATTTAGCAACAACAGTTACTTTAGTATTTGCTGAAAGATATGAAGAAGAAGCTAATCAATATAATGTAAATTCAATGTATGTATATGAAATGGTAAAGAAAGAAGTGACATGGCCAATTACTATAGATAAGTTTCATACAATAAATCAATTATTAATAAAAAGTTGAAGTAAATTTCCATATGGAATTTATAAAGTAACAATCGAAAGAAGCCCCTCTAAAAAAAGTTTACAATGTTCACGATATTTATGATATAATTCACAAGGAATTTATATATATTATGATTTAGAATGTGCTAAGAAGAATAAGTTAAAAATATATTTAATGAATAAATTCCCAAATGCACTTATATATAAAAAAATACATGTATTACTGGAAGTGATATATTTGGAAAATGGGGTAATATACTATACAATATTAAGAAAGAAAGTGGAACAGCTAGAAAAGTAAGTAAAGTATTATTAGTTTCATTATGGAGAGTATTCTACAAACAAATAAATGAACAAAATTATGGAGCACATTTAAGAATTAAACTGTTTCTATTAGTATCAGTTAGAAAAAGAATATCAAAAATTGTGAGACCATTAGGTAATCAAGTAAAGTGTATTCATATAAACAGATTTATAGTAGCAGGTCAAGTAAATCTCAAAACAGATATAGAAATGGAAAAATTAAAACTTGAAAAAAAAAGAGTCTGTATGATAAAAAATTATATATCAATTACTTGGAAGTCTTATATTCTAAAATTTCAAATTTGATTACAAATAGTTTACCAGATTTTAGAAAAAAATAATAAGATAAAGAATAGAATATAGAGATAACTATAAAAAAAAAATCACTAAAAAAATCTAATATAAATCTTCCAAATGAAATTATAATAGAAATATTTTAATATTTACAAATACAAAATGATATATTAGGCACAGAGTATTCTGTTTTGCTGTGTACTAATAATAAATTATTATCCTCAGTTTTATATGTTAATAAATAATAGAATGAATGTACATTATATTTAATATAGAGAAGAGTTACATTATATAGATACAATATTACGAAATTTGTAAAATTAGTAAAAAAAGAAACCATTACCAAATATAATATAATATATAAAACAAATATAATTCGAAAGAATAGATAATTATTATAACACAAATGAATTTCTATTAGAAGACATTGTAAGTATATGCCAAGATATAATAACTATATCATTTAAGGATTGCAATTGGGGATTTGTTAATAACAGTTCACTAAATATAACATTGGATACATGTAAGAATCCAAAATATATATTTATATATAGAAGTAATCGAATAGTACCAAAAATACCAAAAACAATCTTAAATATATCAGAAAAATGTATAAATATAAAAATTATAAAAATATAAAATTGCAAACGAATAACAGATATAATAATAGATTAATTAGTAAACAAATATTCAAAAATTGAAATTAATAAGATATTAAAAGAATAATGAATAAATAATACAAAAGTTGATTAAGTCATAAGTAAGTCATAAATCATATTTAAGAAATATTTATCTCTTTTTTTTTTCTCATGAGAAGATAGAATAATAAAACTTATATTAAATAAAACTTATATTATATAAAACAAAATACAAAGTAAGTATAACAGACAATAGTTCAAGTTTAATAAATAAGCAGAACTCAGAGTTAACAACATAAGATATTACATAAAAAATAATTAAATTAGTACAAATTAAAATAATAAAAGTGACCTTTCATTTTTGATATAGAAAAGATAATAAACTTATTAGTGAATATGCTGGTTATATAAAAAATTTACGTAATGCAAAAAATCAAGATGGCTATATAAAATATATCACAATAACACTTTTTCCAAATGATGAAGCATATAATAAAAGAATATCAAGATATAGAAAATGGTTTCAAAGTAAAAAAGAACTACTTATCTATATAGAGGATTTATATAATCTTTATTATGAACTATTCAAAAAAAATTGACCTATAACTGAAATAGAAATTGAGGAAGCCATTGATGATATACTTATAAACGAGTAATTTATCACTATTTAAGGATCTATTTAGGAGGATACTCAACTTTATTAACTTTCATCAGTTATTTTCTTATAAATGATTTTTCAAGTCCATCACCATTTTCATCTATAAGTCAGTATAATACTAGTTGATTTTTTTGTATTAGTAATTCTTTAATATGATAAATTTTGAGAAACCAATTCATATTAGTTATGTATCTTTTGCCAAATTCTAATTTATCAAGTTTGAGTAAATATAAAACAGAATCTTTATAGGTTAACTGAGGTTCATCAAATTCAATAGGTCTTTGATATTTAACAGTAGTATACGTGTTGCCCAAATTCCAAATCATTTGGGATTTGGGACACCAAAATCCCAAATTACTAGTATTTGGGATTTGGGATTTGGGATTTCGGCAAAAAATACTAATCATAATTTGGGATTTGGGATTTGGGATTTCGGCATTTGGGATTTCGGCATTTGGATTTTGAATTTGGGTGGCAGGTATAAACAGTAGAATTAACAATTATTATTTTTTCTTTTAATGTTCTATTTACAGTTTCATTAGAAGACATATGAATTAATCAAGTAGGAGTATCATTATAAATATCATTATTATTACAAAGATCTTTAATTCAAAATATATATCTTTTAGATAAAGGTAAAAGAAAATCTATAGCATCTTGACAAATATAAGTATGTTTTTCAAATTCTTAATAATTACATTCAGTTATTGATATATCATGTTTTGATTTAGCTTGTATAATTTTTCACTATGACTAAATAATAAATTTCTATACTTGCTTAAGTATTCAGTACCTTTATCTACAATTAAAACTTTAGGCCATGTAAGATGATTACTAGGATCTCTATAAATTGCTTTAAACATTTAGCTAATGATGTAAAAAACTTATTAGTTAAAGTACAATTTTTACAAAATCTAATTGCCATATCTTTTATTACTTCCTTATATTTGAAAATTCGATTACCAATTTTATCGAGAGAAAGAGAAATAAGATCTGATTTATGTACTTCATTTAAATCTCATATATCATTAAAAGAAATATATTGAATAAATTTAGGTCTGAGTTTGTAAGTTAAAAAAGTAATTTGTTCATTTAACCAGTCTTTGATTTAAGTTAACAAAAATTCATATTTAGCTTTTTTATAGGCATTATACATTTTTTCTACAGTTCAATAATAGTCTTTAGGTCAATAATATATTTTTTGTAGCACAATCTCTCTATCTAGTTTACAAGTCCTATATAAGTCAATATAAATTACAGGTTTTTCTATTACTTTAATCTATTATAGTTAGTAAGAATTAAAACAAGTTAATCAAGAGTTCCATGAGGAAATTGATCGATTGGCTCAATTAAACAAAAACTATAAACATCAAATATAAAATTTTGAATTGAATATAGTTTTATGTAAAGAAAAAATTTAGTATCTTGAGGAGGAGTTAGTAAATACAATCGAACTTTCTATACAAGAAAGAAAGAATCTGAAAAAAAAGATATCAAACTTAAAAAGGATTGTCTATCAACTTAAAAAGGAGATTGAGCAAAAGGACAAGGAACTCATTACTAGGAAAAATCAACTAGTGGAATTTGATATAAGGAAAAAAAAATTGAAAACCTGAATTCGAGAAATATCAAAATCTATAGATAATACTCTCAAAGCATATAACCAAATGGTAAAGTTAATAGATAAGAATAAACGTCTCAAATGAGAGATCGATACTTTAAATTATAATCTTAGAGATCGAAACAAAAAATTAGTTTAGAAAAAAACTCATATTGTCAATCTACATAATCAAAATTTTGATATTAGGTTATTGTATTATCAAGATAAATTAGAACTTATCAATATCTGAGAAACTTTACGTGTTTCTGAGACATGAAACATAGATAATGAATCAAATTCAGAAGAAGATTCTGGTATAAAATCTCAAGATAGTAATACTTTAGATTCAAATATAACTATAATACCTAAATTAGTTAACATTATAAATAATTATTTAAATAATACTAGAATAAATAGATCCGTTCTAGTCAATTAAATAAAAAGAGCTACAAGATAAATTTGTTGAAAATATACTAATAATTAAACTTATTTAATAAACAAGTAGCAGAATCAATATAATGTTGAAACTATACTTGCACGCAAAATTATTTTGAGATCCCGAAATTGCAATTTCGAGGAAAAAAATTGAAATAGTTTTTCATAGAAGACAAAATTATTTTACTTAAAACCTGAAATTTTTTGACCACCTAGATTTATTCTTTGATTGAATATATACATAACTAGATACTTTTTTTACTTTCATATATAGAATAGATTCTGTATAAATCTCAAAAAATCGAAATACCTCAAAATTTAAAATCAATTTTGAGAACATGTATACTTCGGATGCCATAAACTTATGCTTAAATCGTATATTAGAGAAAAGTGTATTTTTATATTACTTGACGTATGCTAGAAGATGTGTTTTGGGTCCTTTCATTAGAAGTGTAAATATATGCTCAAAGTAATATTGTACCTCTTCAGGATAAATATCACTTGTCCCATCTCTAAATGCATTCCACTTCACTAAGATCACTGTATTATTTTCATGTCGACCTGCGACTTTGGACCCAAATATTTCATTACCTATTTTTAATCTTGCATGTTGGTTCATAGTCACTTCCATATATGCTTTCACATTTTTTTTTTCTTTGTTATATAATATTACATACCATTCGCATAATATTTTATAGAGTTCTAATGGAATACTTACCTTTTTATACAAAGGTGCTAGTATTCGTCCTGGTATATTTTCAATGCCATAAATTTTATTGGACGTATCATATCTCAAGGAGATAAAATACTATAACTCTTCTCTATTAAATTCATTAGTTACAGCTAAGCTACCAACAGCTTTCTTCAGTGCAAGAAATTGAAGAGACTTTTTCAAGAGACCAGATGTCCATTGACAAGAAAGATGATAATTCACAAGCAAATTTTTGAGGACTATTTTCATAAGTTCGAGTTCGATCTACTAATTACTATTGGGATAAGAACCTATGAAAGATTTGTGTTAAAATTTTATTTACTATAATTCATATATCCAATATTTATAGCTTACCTATATATCTATTTAATTGCTCATATGGAAATAGCTAAAAGCTATAAATGGAGTCATAATCCTATATGCATTCAAGAATATGCATCGATAAATGAATATTACTTGTAATGAATTCAGGTCCATAGGTTCTTTCTATATTTATAGACATATCCCTTAATCGTTCTTGTGTTTCTTGCAGATCGTCTTCTGTAACAAATCTAGCAATTAATAAGTTACATGCCCAAACAAAATATCCTAAAATCTTTCTATCATTATCATCTAGCATGTCCCATAGAATTATTGTTGCATATATCATAATGAAGGTCTTCCATTGGTCAGCAGTGAGCTTTGAAAATTCTTCTCCAATAGTGACCTTTGGTAAGATTAATCAATATCAGATGAAAGTTGAACACTATCCATCATCCTTTATACTATACGAAGTTACTCAGAATTTAGCTTATTTTCTTTAACAAATATAGATTGAATTATCTATTTGACGACTTCAAGGAATAGACAATGCATAGGATCTACCACTGCAAATCTAATTGGATCCATATATGGGAGACGAAATAATTTAGACCATCGTACTCCATACTTTTTGAAATAAGCATCTCTTATTTCTCTGGTATTACATCTAAGCCATTCTTGAGTATATTCTCTA